CCCGCTGTCCCGGTACCCGCTGTCCGTGTGTCCCGCTGTCCCCCTGTCCCGGTACCCGCTGTCCCCCGTGCCCGGCCGGTGTCCCGGAGCGGCGGCGCCCTCTGGCGGCGGCGGGCGGCGCGGCGGCGGCGGGTATAAAAGGCGGCTGCGGGCGGCGGCGGGATCGGGAGCGGCGGGATCGGGAGCGGGATGGCCGGCCCGCAGCAGGCCCCGCACCTCCACCTGGCCGAGCTCACCGCCTCCCAGTTCCTCGACATCTGGCGGCACTTCGACGCGGACGGTCAGTCCCGGGGCGCGCGGGACACTTCGCTCCTCAAAAAACCGGCGGGGAGGGCAGCGGGCTGAGCATCCCTAGGGGCGCGGGGCTGAAGGGGGAGGGGGGGGTAAAGAGTCCCTGGACATCCAGGAGGAGAGGATAGAGCCTCCACTGCCGCAGCCCGGGGGTGACGGTGAGCCCCCGGGGTGATGGAGAGCCCCCGGGATGCAGAGACTCCAGGATGGAGAGTCTCGGGGGTGATGGAGAGTCTCCGGGGTGATGGAGAGTCTCCGCGGCACAGCCCCGTCCGTTGAAGCTCTGGGGTCGGGGAAGCAATCGGTCCCAGAACCTCCCCGTCGAGAAAGGACGGAGAGCCCCAGAACTGGACCCCACTGGGAGTCCTCAGCCCATGGGACGCTGAGCCCGGGATATCCTGGGTCTCCTTGACACGTCCCCCGGGTGCCTTCAGAGCTGGGATTCACTCGGGGCTGTTGTCACCTCTGGGTGCTGCTCTGGGCGTCTTGCCCTTCCCGGGGTGCCCAGTGTCCACCCTCGGTCCTCTCCATCTCCCTGCCTCGGCAGTGCCCCACACTTGGTACCTGGAATGAGTGGGGCAGCATGGCCACCAGACTGGCCCCAGGGTCACCCCCTTGCCAGGAGTGACAGAGCGGGTGTCCCACGCCCGGAGCAGGCTGAAGAATGGTCCCTCCACGTCTGGAGTGCTTGGTCTCTGCCTGCCTGCTCCCCAGCCTCCCAAAATCTCTCCCTGGGGATGCTGGCAAAAACCGTGTCCACTATGGGGATGTCACCTTCCCACGGAGTCACATCTGGGCAGGACACCCCTGTTTCTACCACTGCCAGCCCCAAAAAGGGGGGGGAAATGCACAAACCAGCATTGTTTTGTGAGAAAACAGTTTCTTCCAGCGCTGCAGTGCCATGAGGCTCAGCCTGCTGGGGACAGCAGCCTAGGGGGAAAGCACCTATCCTTCACTGAGTCTCCTGTTCCTGCAGGAAGGTTTGGGGACCAAAAACCTCCTTGGAACTGCATCATGTAGCCTCCCCAGCTGTGCTGCTGGAACTGGAGCTCAGCTTGCTCCTGGCTGCATTTTGGGGTCCGTCCCCCCCCCCCCCCCCCCCCCCCCCCCCGCAGCCTCACATCATCGGGGACACAGACACAGGTCCCTGTCACTGCTGGCACTGGAGCAGCCACCGAGGGGTTTGGAAGGTGGCACTCCAGTGGGAGTGGGCAGCTCCTGATGTGGGTGTCCAGCTGCCTCCCTGCAGTGCTTCCCACTGTGCCCTTGGATGTGCTCTGTCATCTCCAAACCACCGCGGCAGGCACGGGTCCAGCTTGGCCCACGGCCCCCGGGCAGGGCGAGGCTGTCGAGCTGCAGCACGGCAGGTGCGCAGGAGAGGAGGGACTCGGGCGTCGGGAAGGAAGGTGGCCTTGACAAGGACAATGCTCAGCTGCACCAGGCAGGAGCTCCAACAGCCCTGGCTGCTTCCCTGTGCCAATGGAGGGACCTGGGGTTCATTCCGCTGTGCGTGGGACTACTTCACCCAAGCTCATCCCTGCATTTAAACCCCTTCAATGTGGCTTCCATGCCTTGAGCTGCTTCCCCTCATGGCTTGTCATGCCCCACAGATGTCCCCTCAGATGTCTCTGATGTCCTCACTTTACCAGCCACTGCTGCCCCGAGGCTCTGAGGTGGAGCTGCATGGACTGGCTGTGGCTCTCTGGAGGGGATTTTCCATAGCACTCCACATCCTGTTGCTCTGCAGACATGGATCAGACCTGCTGCTTGGAGGAAGCCAAGCTACTGGCCACAGCTTTTCTCAGCCTTATTCTTTTTTCCCAGCTCAAAACTCCTGTTGATTTTTCTTTTTTCCCCAACTGAATTCAAAGCCACTTGGGGTTCTCCTGCACCCACAAAAGCAAAGCCCCTGGGAAGAGGAGTGGGAAGTACCTCAGTGGCTCACACCAGCACCCCAATATCACCCAAGCCCCTCATCCCCTCCCGGGAAGGATGCTGCTCATCCATTGGGATGTGGTCACCAAAGAGGAAGGTACCCTGGGATTTCCCCAGTGCTTCGAGCTGGGATGCGGATGGGTTATTCCCAGCTGCTGTGTAGCAGTGGGGAGCAGATGCTGCTGGGGATTCTGCAGGTGATAATGCCGAAGGTGGCACAGAGCAGTCAGCTGTGGTCCAAGCCCCTGGAGGCTGAAATGTGGAGCGGTCCTGGGGGAAGTATTCACAAGGAAGAGCCCTGGTTATCCCTCAGCCAGGCACTTCAGGGGAAAGGGCAACATCCCTCTGCTGTCCAGATGTTCTTGGACGGGAGGATTTCTGGCAGGGAGGTGACATCTTGCCTGACAGCACCATGGAGCCAGTGTCGTCTTACTGCTCTCCAGCTGTGATGTGACGCTGCTGCTTCCAGGCACAGCAGCCACCCCCCAAAGCCACCAAGGGCCACCACTGTGGGAGCCATGTGTGGCTGAGCCCTGGCTGAGCCCTCTGGCCATCGAGCATCCCACAGGCAGGGCAGGGCTATGGATACCCCGGGCTCCAGAGGAGCCACATCTCAGCACAGATACTGGCAGTGAGAGGTGTGAGGTACACAGGACAGGGATCTTTTGGAGCTCCTGGCCGTGCTGGAGATTGGCAGTGGGGTCACCCCTTCCTGGGGCTGATCCTGCACCCAGGATGGGGGGATGCTGTGCTGGGTGCCTTGCCTCTGCTCCCCATTTGCCCTTGTGGCCCCCACAGGGGGTTGAGACAGTCCTGATTGGGAAATGCTTGCACGGGATAGCGTGCCTTTATTTAAAGCATCTGATTGAAGCATCAAATACAAAAAATGCAGCAAAGACCAAGATGAACAAAGTCCCCTATGCCCCACAAATGAGTGCAAGGGGCAAGTCCAGGGCTGTGTGTCACCTGGGCAAATTTGGGCATCACCAGTATGTGCAACGCTCAGCGTCAACATTGGCTGGCATTTCCTTGTTGCCACAGTTGCCTTGGAGCCATGTCCTGGTGCAGAGGGAACAATTGCTGTGTCCCCTGGGAGCATCTGTCCCTCTCCTCCTGTGCTCTGACACTGTGAAAGTCTTACTGCATTTTTTTTTTCCTCCTGCAGGAAATGGCTACATTGAAGGCAAAGAGCTGGAAAATTTCTTCCAGGAGCTGGAAAGTGCAAGAAAGGGGGCGGGTGTGGTAAGAGCATCTTCTGGTTTTGCTCCCTCCTTCCCTCGTTCCCTTGTGCCCAAAGACTCATGTGTGCTCATGTCAGCCCCATCTCCTTTGGGCACTCATGAGTGGGACTGGGACTCCTCTGGGAAGAAAGTGGGAGAAGACCAGCATAGGGAATGAGGGAAAAGTTCCCATTCCCTCTCTCCTTGCTGGCAGGACTCGAAGAAGGACAATTTGGGTGACAAGATGAAGGAGTTTATGCACAAATATGACAAAAATGCGGATGGCAAAATTGAGATGGCAGAGGTGAGCAGTGCTGGACCTGACAAAACCCAGGTTGTTCACGTTCCACCCCCATGCTCATGTTTCCCCTCCACCATTCCACCATGCCTGTGCTTCCCACAGCTGGCCCAGATCCTGCCCACGGAGGAGAACTTTCTGCTGTGTTTTCGCCAGCATGTGGGCTCCAGTTCAGAGTTCATGGAGGTGAGTGGGACAGGTTGTGCTGGGGGATCCCCAGGGAATTCAATCCAGCTCCACCAAGGGAAAACAACTGGGACCTTGAACTGACCAAACCTCCCCTGGTCTCCCCAAAATTCTTGGCATTAACTCTGGGAGTTAACACTGGGAGGCAGTGCTGGTTTAGGGAAGAGCAGGAATGTGGTGAGTTTTCCCAGTTCTCAGCACCCCTTGGATACTTCTCAGGGCAGTTGGGTGCCTCATCCCAGCCTCCAGGCAAGGATTTGGGGCTTTTTGTAAACTTCCCCTCATGGTTGCTCCTAAGTGCCCAAGGGATGTGCCGAAACCAACACTGTTCCAGGGCATCCCACAACCTCGCTCTGTCCTTGCATGGAGTGAACCCACACAGGTGGGAGAGAAATTCCAGATGGGGAATAAAACATAAATGGGGATGGAAGGGGATGTGCAGCATCCTGGAGAGGAAGGAGCTTGTATATGGAAACTGAACTCCTGGGTGGAGAGGAAGGCTGAAAGAGGAGCACCTCATGATATTGGGAGTGGGGTGGGGGGTGGGGGGGGTGGTAAGCAGACACTATTGTTTAATTGGGGGATGCAATTAAATATTATTAAATATTAACGCCTGGTCTTGCATACTGACACGAGGATAAAGGTGCTTGAACTCTTGGTGTGGGGCTGAACAAAAGCATCTAGCCCCAAGGGAGAGTATGTGATGCCAGTGGGAGCTGTGAGATGGCCCCATCTCCTTCATGATAGTGGGGGACACTCTCAGAGGGAGTTTATGGGGGCACACATACACGTCAGGAGGGAGTGGGGGACACGAGCCCCTGCAAAGGCTCATGGCAGTTCCTCCACAGGCCTGGCGCAGGTACGACACGGATCGCAGCGGCTACATCGAAGCCAACGAGCTCAAGGTGGGCTGTGGGCAGAGGGTGGGCTTGGCTGGGTCCCTGTCAGTGGGACATCCCCGCTGGGACACCTGGGGATGGGGACAGCCAGCAAAACCCTCTCCTCCCAGGGCTTCTTGTCAGACCTGCTGAAGAAGGCAAACCGGCCCTACGACGAGCCCAAGCTGCAGGAGTACACACAGACCATTGTGAGTGACCCGGGGCACTGCGTCCCCACCAGGGGCCTCAGCACCCCAGGGTGGCATGCAGGAGAGGAGGAGGGGATGGTCACAGGGCACTGTTTGTGTCCCAACAGCTGCGGATGTTCGACATGAACGGTGATGGGAAGCTGGGCCTCTCCGAGATGTCCCGGTAAGGTCACGGGCAGCAAGAAGGAAGAGCTGGGGAGGGAAAGACACCTGAAATGCTCATATTGAGGAAGAGTCTGCTCCAGCTTCCAGGGAAAACTGTTTTCCCCTTTAATTTACTCATGTTCCTGAGCAAAACATCACTGTGATTTAGGAGAATGCCTTTTTCTGGCTGCTTCCCACTCTTCCCTGTCCCCCTTCTTTTTCAGACTTTTGCCTGTGCAAGAAAACTTTCTTCTGAAGTTTCAGGTAACACAATACTACTCCTACTGCTAATAATAACAACAAAAACAACCCATTCCCATTGCTTGTACATCCAACCCCTCTCTCATACCCTGGTACCTCTCTCATTCCATTGTCACTTCCCAGGGAATGAAGCTGTCCTCAGATGAGTTCAATGCCATCTTTGCCTTCTACGACAAGGTAGGGAGCCAGCTCATGGGAAGTCACCCCAAATAAATATAACCTGGCAAAAAATAACCCCCAATCATATGGTTTTGGTTGGGGCAATTCCGTGCTCTGGTTTAGGGTAGGAGAATTGGGATTACCTCTGGCTGTGCTGGTTGAGGGTCTGGGGATGCCCATGTCCAAAGGGGAATTGCAGGGCTTGTATCCTTCCTGCTGTTGATGTCCCTCCCACATATCCAGGATGGAAATGGCTTCATTGATGAGAATGAGCTGGATGCACTTTTGAAAGACCTGTATGAGAAGAATAAGAAAGTAAGTGTGAGCAGAGCTTGGGTGCCACCCCGAGGGCTCCCCAGTTCCTTCTCCCATGTCCCAGCAGCATCCTTCCATGTCCATGCTCCAGGGGGATGATGAGATGCTGGTCCAAGTGCTGAGCCTGCATCCTCATGGGAAGCTGCACTAGAAATGGGGGGAGTGTAATCTCAGCCTGGGGGTACTCCCCAGGGAGAAAGGGGTGCCCACCCCCACTGCCCCTCATGCCTTGCAGGAGATGAACATCCAGCAGCTCACCAACTACAGGAAGAGCATCATGAACCTCTCCGACGGGGGCAAACTCTACCGCAAGGAACTGGAGATGGTGCTCTGCAATGAGCCCCCCATGTAGGACTCCCATACACACAGCCCACGCTCCTCCTCCCCGAAAACAAGCACAAAGGGGAGCCCCCATCACTGCAGAGCTCCCCCAACATCTCTTGGGTTTGCTGTAGGTTGCTAAAATCCCATTTAGGGGGGGAAACTTTTTTTTTTTTTTCCATCTGCCTGGTTTGTTTAATGACATTATTTTTTTTTTTCTTTGCGGGGGTGTTGTTTTCATTCCTTTGGTCTCTTGAGTTTTTATCATTTACCAAAGAACAGTTTACTAATAAATTCAAGTACTGCTAGAGTGAAGCCCCTATTTCTCTATCCCATGGTGGGCTGCGGGGTGACAGGGAGGAGGGGGATATCCCCACACTCTGATCCCACAGAGGACGTGGCTGCTGGGTGGGGAAGAGAGACAGAGCATTTGGGAAAGCCCCTATGGAAGGAAGGTCACTGGAAAATCCCTGGGGAGCAGAGTGCAGGCAGGTTGAGTGGGGACACTGTACCTCCCAGTTATCCCTCCCATTCACCCCCCCACACCCTGCCAAAGCCTCTGGGACATCCCAAGGGTTGTTTCCCCCACTCCCAGTTTTGGAAACCAGTCTCAGGGTGTCAGTGCTGGCAGAGTCCCAGTGCAACCTTTCCCACTCCTGAACTATCCAGTACGGTGCAGTGCAGCCCCATCTGGACATGCACAGCCCAGGACAGCCCACAGTAAATCCCACACAGCTCAGTATGGCTCAGTACAGCCCAGCATGCTACAGTGCAGTCCTATATGGCCCAGCACAGCCCCACATAGCCCAGCATGGCCCAGAACCACACTATACAGACCTGTGTGGTGTTGTATAGTCCTGTGTGGCTAAGCACAGCCTAGTACAGACCTTTACAGCTCCACATGGCCCTCTACACTCCAGAATGGCACAGAGCAACCAAGTACAGCCCCACACTGGCCTAGTACATCCTGTACAGCTCCATATGGACATGCAGTCCTGTATAACCCTGTATAATCCTATATGGCGTGTTACAATCCTGTATAGCTCACTATATGGCCCAAGACTGCCCTGTGCAGACTGGTATGGCTCCACATGGTGCAGTGCAGTCCTATACAGCTCAAGAACAGCGCTGTGCAGCCTAGTATGGTGCAGTACCATCCTGTATGTCCCAGTATGACCAAGTAGAGCCTGCTACCAGATGGTCCAGCACAGACTAGTATGGCCCACATGTCCTAGTTAAGGCCTCCCTATCCCAGTACAGCCTACCACAGCCCAGTATAGTGTAGGACAGCCTAGTACAGCCAGTATGGCCTGGTACAAGATGGGCCAATACAGCCTAGCATGGCCTACTACATCACAGTTGAGTCCTGCAAAGCCCAGCACTGCTCAGCACAGCCCAGCACTGACCAGCACCGCCCAGTACAGCCCAGCACCGCCCATCACAGCCCAGTACAGCCAAGCACCACCCAGCACATCCCAGTACAGCCCAGCACAGCCCAGTAAAGCCCAGCACAGCCTAGTAAAGCCCAGCACCAACCAGCACATCCCAGTACAGCCCAGCACAGCCCAGCACAGCCTAGTAAAGCCCAGCACTGCCCAGCACCGCCCAGTACAGCCCAGCACTGCCCAGCACAGCCCAGCACTGCCCAGCACCGCCCAGCACAGCCCAGCACTGCCCAGTACAGCCCAGCACTGCCCAGTACAGCCCAGCACTGCCCAGCACCGCTCAGTACAGCCCAGCACTGCCCAGCACCGCCCAGTACAGCCCAGCACAGCCCAGCACAGCCCAGCACTGCCCAGTACAGCCCAGCACTGCCCAGCACCGCCCAGCACTGCCCAGCACCGCCCAGTACAGCCCAGCACTGCCCATCACCGCCCAGTACTGCCCAGCACATCCCAGTACAGCCCAGAACATCCCAGCACTGCCCAGCACAGACCAGTACAGCCCATCACAGCCCATCACAGCCCAGCATTGCCCATCACAGCCCTGCAACGCCCATCACAGCCCAGTACAGCCCAGAACATCCCAGCACAGCCCATCACAGCCCAGTACTGCCCAGCACAGCCCAGCACAGCCCATCACAGCCCAGCACAGCCCCGGACCGAGCGGCGCAGCTGCACTGACCCGCAGCGGCCGCCAGGGGGCAGCGCGGGCGGTGCCCGGCGCTCGGCAGCGCATGCGCGGGGCGGAGCGCTCCGCCGGCGCCCGTGGTGTGAAGTGCCCGCCCGCCGCCGCCACCGCCGCCGCTGCCGCCATGGCGCTCCTGCACAGCCGCCGGCTCCTCGCCGCCCCGCGCCTCGCCGCCGCCGCCTCCCGCGCCAGGTGAGGGCTGAGAGGTGGCTCATCCCCTAGGCCCGCCCGCCGGGGTCGGCGGAGGGGTTTTCCCGCGGCTGAGCCCCTCTCCGAGCTGGCGGTGGGGGAGGCTGCGGGAAGCGAGTCGCCCCGTGCGGCCCGCGGCTGACGCCGCGCTGGGCGAGGGGGTTGCCGGGGGGACGGACCGCGCTCGGATTGGCTGGGAGGGGGGGTCCTCGCGCTCTGATTGGCTGCGGCCCAGCCCGGCGCCCCCCGCCTGCCCTTGAGGCGCCGCCGTGGAGGGCGCGTAGGCACCGGGCAGCCCCGAGCAGCGGGGCCGGGGCAGCCCCGAGCAGCGGGGCCGGGGCAGCCCCGAGCAGCGGGACCGGGGGAGCCCCGAGCAGCGGGGCCGGGGCAGCCCCGAGCAGCGGGACCGGGGCAGCCCCGAGCAGCGGGACCGGGGGCTGGAGACACCCTGTGCTTTGATTGGGCCGGGGTGCTGCTAGTGATGTACACTGTGCTTCGGGGCACGGATGATGTGGTCAGTGAGAGGCTGGACGTGCCCAGGCAATGTGCGCTCGCAGCCGTGTCCTGGGCTGCATCACCGGCAGTGTAGGCATCAGGTAAAGGGAGGGGATTCTGTCCCTCTGGTCTGCTCTGCTGAGACCTCCACCTGCTGCACTGCATCCACCTTTGCGACCCTAGCACAAGAAGGACATCGACCTGTTCGAGCAAGTCCAGAGGAGGCCACAAAGATGATCAGAGGATTGGAGCACCATTTCTATGTGGAAGGACTGAGGGAAAAAGCTGAGGTTATTCAACCTGGAAAAGACAAGGTTTTGGGGTGACCTAATTGTGGCCTTCTGATATCTAAAGGGGCTACAAGAGAGCTGGTGAGGGACTTTTGACAAGGGTTTGGAATGCCAGGACAAGGGGGAAAGGGTTTAAATTGACAGAGGGCAGGGTTAGATTAGATATTGGGAACAAATTCTTCCCTGTGAGGGTGGTGAGGTCCTGGCACAGGTTGTCTAGAGAAACCATACCTGTCACATCCCTGGAAGTGTTCATGGCCAGGTTGGACAGGGCTTGGAACATCCTGGTCTAGTGGAAGGTATGCCTGTCTATGTCAGGGGTTTTGACAACGTACTCTTTTGTGTCTCTTCCAACCCAAACCGTTCCAGGATTCTGTGTGCTGTGAAATGGGGCTGAGGTGGTGCTGTCTGGCTTCCCTATGTAGTGGGTCCAAAGGAACCTCTGCACTGTGCAGTGGCCTCATGCACGTGGGATCATGCATGGTGCAGCAGGTCTGCAGTGACCCCATGATCCATTAATTGGGGTGGGAGTAGTGCTGGCTGTGCTCTCAGGGGTACAACCCCTAGCAGGAGCAGAGTGGAAGTGACTGTGTTTCGGTGAGGACCAGTCTTGCACTGGCAGCTCTGGATTATTTTGTCTCTGGTCAGCAGAGGTTTGGATAGAAAGATGTAGGGTGCTGCTGGAGCTGTGTGAAAAGCCCAGAACATCCAAATTTCCACAAAGTAGAGCTGACCTGAGAGCCACGGGGCTGGGAACATCACTGAGATCAGATGGCCAAGAAGCAGAGTGTACAGAGGAATCTGGATGAGGCCTTGGTACTCTCCAGAACCCTTTGACTCCTGGCCCTCACTAGTGGGGAAGTCTCTAAGAAACAGTTTCCAGGCTACGTCAGAACAGGAAAGCAGTGGGGTTTTTTTAGATCTCTATTCCAGCAGTCACTACTGCTTCTAAGCCAGCCTTTTGGCTCTTCTCAGCGGGGACAGAACAGCTGTCTAGAACTTGTGTTTTGCGCCCATGGACTATAGCAGACCTGTGAAAGGTATGGAGCCTGCTGGCATAAGCATTGCTTTTCTCAAGCTTGTTGTACAGCAAACTGTAAATTACCAAATTGCATTGAGGTCACCCAACAGAGGTTAAGTTTTTCAAGCAAGGAGCCTCTGTGCACATACCCCTTTTTTGTTTCAGGAATAGTGGCTTGTTATGCAACAAGGGAAGCCAAGCACTGATTAGCAGTTTCTGTTTCCTTATCTTCAGCAATATAATGTGGTGCTCCAGCTGCTATCATTAATCTGTGCTGAGAATGCTGTTTCTGAAAGCAGAACCGAGGTTAAGAGATACGAAATGGTTAAAACTGTTCCATTGACACACAAATGCTAATTAGGACGATAACTCAGTCTGCTGCTCTGATGTATCACAAGACAGCTATTTAAATACTTTTCTTGGTGGAAAGCTTATCCAAAGCTCACTGGGGCAAGGAATTTGTAGGCTTGAAAGGCCCTGTAGTAGCCAGCAGCCTGTTGGCATTGTTCTTGTGTAAATATTAGCTTTAAATGTGGTTTACGTATAGCCTTTGGCCCCTAGCTCTGCTCTGTCTTGCAGAACTGCTGTGGGGGCTTTGGCAAAGCTTCTGAAATCCAGTATCTTATGTGGCTGCACCTCAGGAAACCTTCACTGGGCTTGTAAATGCTTGCTCTCCAGGCTTAGCTTGAGTGCTTAAGCACTTCTTAGGTCTGTGCACTCGAGGCATAAGTTCCAGATACATTTTTGAAAAATGTTGCAAATTTATGCAATTCCTGGTACATTTTCCCATCCTCTCTGTCCCACTGCACTTGCAGTTGTACATTAAACCAGCTCAGAAGACCAGCATGGCTGAAGAGTACAGAGACTATTTGGATCTCTGATGAGCATCTAAACTTTGGGCCTTCTGTGTGGAAGTCCTGTAGCTGGAGAATGTGCTTCCTTTGGCTTACATTGAGTATCCCTCAGGTAGTTCAACCCCAGCTTAAGTTCACCTCTGGTTAGTTTTCTGCACTGAATACCTCTGGCCTGGCAGAGATGTGCAGTTTATAGCTTTGACCTTTATTCAAGCCAAATGTTCTTTTAATTGCTGAAAATAAAATACAAGGCAGTGCAGGGACAACAACAGTAACGGGGGTTAGCAGTGTGTTCAGTTGTGTGGCCTTGGACCCCTAGTAGATCTCTTTTTTCCCAAACCCCTTTGGGAAAGCTTTGCCTCTGTGATCCCTTTGGTATCCTGATGTGTTTGGACAACTCAGCCTAGGCTTTTTTCCTCTGTCTCCCTGCAAACTCACCTTCCTGGAAACACCAGTAGAGTTTTGTTTCACCTGGAAGCCTTCATGCTGAGAACAGGAAAATAAGTCCTAAACCTACCTGTCAGTGCCTTAAGCCAACACAAAAACCGGCTCAGAACAAAAGTACTTAACTCTCTGAAGTGCTGCAGCTTAGGTAAATGCCTGCAGGATCAGCATTAATTGCAGTATGTTAGAGCCCAGTGACCTGCCTAAGCCTTAGCAGGATTGGGACCTCAATACTCCAAACACTGTAAGCTGCTTGGGAAAAAGCCCAGCAGAAAGAAGGTGATTTCACCATCTCCAAAGTAGCAGCTCTTTAAAATAAATGGCCAGGCTCCTGCAGCCCTTGATACTAAAATAATCCTAAACCAGGTAAACTGAAGAGAGCCACACTAGTGCACATTGTTTCTCTCTTTCCCTGCCTCTCCATTGCCAGGAACACATTGGGAGCGGTTTGTCCAAAGCCGCCTGAACCTGCAGCAGAGTTTGCCCTGACAGTCCCCTTGACGTGTCCTGCTCAGGTTGGTTCTCCAGGTCACTCCCTCCACACTGGCTGCAGCCCCAGTCCCTCTCTGGAGGGTGTGTGTTGCTGGCATCTCTGACTCATCCTCCTTTCCAAGCTAATCCTGTACTTAAGAGGTAATTAAGACTAGTTGGTGGTCTACAAAACATTAAGCACATCTTACATTTTTAAACTACCTAAGGTGGCTCTACCGCTCCTTCAAAGCCTGTCAAAAGGAGTGATAGGTTTCTTTTAAAATTTGAAAATAGTGTACATAGGGGAAGAACAGCTAGTCTGAAGAGGGCAAATGATTGAGGCTCTATGGATTCCAATCTACACACATGTGAGAGTGCACAATTTTTCTGTAGTGAGGAAACTTGGCCTAAGTGTGCCTAAAACAGGGACAGAGTGGAAAGATGACTATGAATTCTGCTGATCATTTAGAGCTTCCTTAACCCGCCTAGCCCCACTGCCCACAGATCTGTATCTGCCTACAGAGTCTGCACTACACACTCAGCAGGAGGTCTGGCTGGTCCTGGGCTGCCTGCATTGCCTGGGGCACGGACCAGCCCCAGGACAGCATTCCCAAGTTGGGAAAGGATTTTGTTATCAGATGATGTGGCCTTT